GCTTGTTGACAATGGACACTCTCCGCGGGATCGTGCACTTTACATGACAAGGCTTTTGTTGTCTGAGAAAGGCGTCTCGACTCTGGATTAGTGCTCCGAACTTTCGGTGTTATACCCTCTGTCATGTTCTGTCCGGAAACAAAACAAAACAAAAAAATATTCAGTTGCGATTTTGATTTTTCTTTCAAATAATACATTACGGCAGATTTTATGGCTTAGCTTTTTCACAACTTAAGTTCGTAATTAAAGACGTAATTGTATGGCGGGAGCGTTGTAGGCAGTGGGACCCTCCTTCCTTCTCCTCCTCTCCCCTCCTCTTCCTCCGTACCCTCCCCTCCTCTTCCTCCGTACCCCCCCCATCCTCCTCTTCTGTGGTCGCCCCCCCTCCTCCTGCGTACCTTTCCATCTTCATCCCCTTACCCCCCATTCCTCCTCCTCTATGCCCTCCCCACCTCCCACAGTTTCCCCGCTAAATTTAGCTCGAAAATTGACGCCACTGGCCTCAACACCAATTCAGTTTCCCCGGCAAATGAAGCGGGAAAAATAGGGAGTTTTCGTCGACCGCTTTCCCACCTCCACTAAGCTATCCGCAACGAAGGGGCCGCTACTGCTCCTGTGCGCCGCTAGCCTTGAGTGAAGAAACCCGCGGATCTCGTAGCAGGTTGCCGAGAGCGCTGCGGGACGGCGGAAACGATCTACGAAAACTCCCTAATGACGTCACATGACTTCGTGTCACGTCATCCATGAACAAATCCAGTTTTTCCACTAGATTTAGCGGAAAGATTGACGTCAGGTGACCTCAACCCCAATTCAATGTTCCGCTAAATATAGGGGAGCGGTTACGCCGACGGCGACGCCGCTATACGCGGAAACGGGCGCCTGAGAACTGCGCTCTCTCTCACAGCCGAATTCATAAACGGGCCTCGACTCGGACTCGACTCAAACTCGACTCGAAACTCCACTCGAGGCCGGTTTTGCGCTTCATAAACCGACCTCCACTCCAAACGCTCCTCGACTCGAGGAAATACTCGACTCTTTCCTCGAGAATCTCAAGGTAGGTCCGGCGCTTCCTCGAGCCGCTCCTCGACTTGAGTTTGGGGTGTCATGGCGGCCGGCGAGTCGTTCGCGGAGTTCGTGAACTTCGTTTTAAGCGCAGAAGAGATCCTCTACGACGACGTAGGCGACAGCGAATAGAGACGTGTGACGAGACGAAGTTTCAGAGAACGCCTGAACCCGCTGGAACACTTCAGTGACTGCGGATCTCCTGTGCGGTGCCGCTTCACGAAGGCCACCGACGAGCACTCTGCTGTCTCTGCCAGGAGCGCGAGTACTCAGGGCCTACCTCCCTCAACGATGCTGCAGCTCCTCGTTGTTTTGAGCTTTTATGGTGCCAGGACGTTCCAAGTTGTTACGGGAACCATGTGAACATGCCGCAGCCGACTGTGTGCCGGATTGCGGAGCGAGTTTCGCGGCTCCTCGCACGGACCATTTTCACCCGCTCGGTGAAGCTCCCGCAGGGCGCAGCAAACTTTAATGCGTTCGTGCGGGGCTGCTGCGGAATGAAGTTTCCAGGGGCGACTGGGTGCATTGATAAGAGGACCCGGCGGTCCCGATGTGGAAGTGTTCTCGAAACAGAAATGGATACTGCTCCATCAACGTGCAGGTAAGTTCACCCCTGTTGTTTGCGTTAGGAGTGCCAAACTTAATTAATCAAACTGTACGCTGAGATGCGATATCGTAGGTCTAAACTCTGACGTAACGATATCAATCAAAACTTTAAAACAAATCTGTATCCGGCGACAGTTTGCACGACCGAGCGTGAACGTACTCCCGTTCTTATGAAGAAAAAAAAATGTCATTAAATGGTTGCCGACTCTTGTGAGAGCACAGAAATACGTTAAAATAAAACAAACTCCCGATCGGGTTACCGAGCACAATGATAGTAGCGGCCCGAGCGCACCCTCCTTGCAAGAATGATCATGACCAAAGCACATTTCCAGTGAATGAGGGATGAGACGATGTGTCTTGCAACACAGTCTCATCCCAGATGAACCTTTTTGATCGTCAGATTCTCAGACATGAAAACTTAAAATAAAATAAAATTAAAATTGAAAATGATGAGCGAATGTTTACTTTCTACATACACATGAAAGCATTCATTTGGTGGCATTCACTAAGTTGTCTGTGCAATTGGTAACCACAACAGTTCCATATGTAAACACTTTTTGTGTCTGCATGTGCTTGTGTCGTGTAAACCAAACTGCACGGCGAACACGCACTGCTCAATAGCATTTGTTGTTTATTGAGGTTGGTTCTTGGCATTTGTTGCTTAAATGAGACCGTGGCTTACGAGTCCACAGAAATATACAAGAATGTAGGAAACATGCGCCGATACCACACCATTCGCAGATTGACATCCTTCGGCTAGCAGCAGAGTGTACTGAAAATACAACTAGTACCAAAGTCCATATCGTACAGCATACCACCTGAACCGGACTGATGCCTGCAGCCATCTAAAAGAGACTTTCTGAAGCTTAAGATGTGTGCGAAGGGACATTATCCACTCACGACAAAAAGCTGTGTATGTACATCTGAAGAGGAGTGTTATCATACACAGCACTTTCTATCGAAAACAGTAGTCCGAGCATTAATCGGACCTACACTACTCCACAAACTAGTCCTACATTTTCTATTCAAACAATAATTGTGCTGTATTGTTCTTCATTTTTGTCTTATGTAGGTACCAAAAGGCCCACTTCTGGACTAGGAACTCAGTGCAGCGGGCCTAGGCACTTTCCGTGCCTCGACATGTGCTAGCAGCACAAGCCTGAATGATCAGCTGTGATGATCACTGGTGGACTTGCACTGCAAAACTTGGCCCACCTGCAGAACGAGCCACTTTCCGCTCTACCAGTCCCACCCCCCACTGACGATGCTGAAGGCAGTCTCATCTCCCATCGACACCACACCACGTGGACACATTCAACGGGGCATGGGTGCGGGCTCAACTCGTTGTGTGGTGTTTCCAGTAGGAACTGAATGCAGAGCATGTCCTTTTTAGCTTAAGTCACCGAAGAATCAAGTCACTGGCCATGTTAAAGCTCAAAATGCAATCGGGCCAGAAACAAATCAACCTTATACTATGGCCACACACTTTCTAATTTGAACCGAAACAAATTTGCCGGTTTCTCAGCTAGTTGGTCACCACAAATTGTTGCAATGTCTTTGTTCTACTCAGGTTCCCGCTGGACGACAGTGTTTGAAACTATGCTGGTGGTTGCTGTTTTATCAATCCTCCAAAAGAAGCAAGACCAACTTGCCCTTTTTGTTGTGGAAACATTTTGCTCGAGAACAATTCAATATTTGTCATCACACAAAGCAGAATACAAAGAAAGTGAGAAGCTTCAGGTAATTACATTAAAATAATTCAAAATTTTGCAGTGTTCAGACTCGAGACTTTTCAGCGAGCTGTTCAGTGCACATTTGTTCGAAATAAACTTATACATGAGAATGTCTGAAATGACGTCTTGCAGCTGTGACCCCACATGAAAAGTTTTCGGTTAGAATAAATATTACAATAGCGCAGCAATTCCTTGTGAGGACACCTTCGGATGTTAGGCAGTCAAGGGTGTCCTACCTAACAGTTACTTACACAAGCATGCCGAGCCCATGCACTCAAACTGATGGCATCACACAACGTATTACTGAATGCGAGCATGAATGAGGTGAGCACCGTACCAGGGTTTAGCTGGAACCGCTGCTCAATTACTGTATCACTGTGTGGCCAGCTGCAAACTTGGGCCCAATTGCTACGTCGGCACTGTAGTAGTGTGCAGTGAAAAGGCAGTGAAGTCAAATTTGGGGGTTTTACGTGCCAAACCAAAGACAGGCATCTGGCACGCCCCAGCAGAGAACTGAGGGTTAATTTTGACCACCTGGGGATCTTTGGACAAGCAACCAAAAGCTCTGTGACACGGCGCCACCTCCACAATGAAAAGGCAGTGGGCAAGCCTCGTCAATGTGGTGTCGACTTTACTCTGGTAGGCGATACAAGTTCACAGAGGATTGCGAGGCACAAACCCCTGGACAGGAAATGAGACGTCTTAACTCAATGAAAACTATGGCAAAACTCAGTGACAACAGCATTTAATGAACGAGGCTGCACATGGACTACACACTAATAAAAGAGACATTACATAAATAATAGTGGCAATGTTTAGGAAACACCTGGCTGTACATTCAAACAGATTCCTAATATCCATCAAGGGGATCGGTGGTCGACTGCATTAACGGATCACAGCTTGGAGCACAAGGAGTGAAAGCTCGCACAGCTGAACATAGGAGTCTTGAGTTCAATCTCTGCTTCTGCCTGTATCGATGTGGATGAACATTGTAACAGCATGCAGTTGTGTATCACTACTGTGATTTAAGTTAAAGACCCCAGGATAGCTGTGGTACGACACTGGCTGAATATCTCGTCTACAGTGGAGATATGTTGCTCACTGGGGCTGACTAACTTCCCGTTGTCTAAACATACAAACAATGTAATTAGTAAGAAAAAAAATACTCTGTTACTTTCTAAGTTTCAAAGGAATAGATTTAAAGCTGACGTAACTGCCCTTTTGCATAAAATGTTCACTACAAATAGCAAATCGAGAAACAAGTTAAAAAAATGCTAGGCTTTATTTAACAAACGAGATACGGTCAATACTTGTAACAACTTCAGGTCAGAGATAAAATGAAGCAAGTTACAGACCTTAAAAAAGCATTCTTAAACACAAAAGAGAATGGTAATTACTAAAGAGGAAGATGAAACAAATCGAATAAATCAGCCTACTGTTGTGGCTGGGCCCCGAGAACAAGCAGTTGTTGCAGCGTGATTAGTTTGTTGAGCTGAAGTAGCTCAAGCTCGACCTGGGCCTGCGTCTGTTAATAGGCAACCTGACACTGACGTAGCTCCACCTGCAGCAGGTGTAGCTCCTCCAGTCGGTGCAACCTTTAGTTGTCTTCACTCGGAAAATCACACGTGGCGGCTGAGGAGGTAGAGGAGGTGGGGCTTGGTTGGTGACGCAGCAACCGCAACCTCCATGATGCCACCCCAGTCCAGCAGCGGTGAGGCAGGTGAATCTAGGCAAGCACAACACATTGACGCCGAGTGTTACAGGCACGGTGAAGACACCGGAGAACTGGTAGAAACTGTTACAACAACCCCATTACAGAAATGTTAAATGCCAACTGTTGGTAAACATGAAAGTTTTCCTTCCTTGTTCTGACCCTTTCCTTTCCGTGAAACTGTCAGTAGCGGCAGGGCAGACTCCAAATGGTGATGTAAAAATTAAATAGTGCAAAGGTTAGACAAAGGACAGAACATGAGACAGGCAAGCGCTAGCGCTTGTCCTGTCTACATGATCTGTCCTTTGTCTAACCTTTGCGCTATTTAATTTTTACATCATGCATATCCAACTAGCACACCTCAATATCTTAGTCCAAATGGTGATACCGTCAAAAGAAACAGCGCTGTTATCTCGGACCTTGTTGGCCCTCGGGCACACGTGTGGTGTATTTGTCAATAAGCATGTCATTATCCAGACCCAAGGAATTTACCGTGTTCCTACGTGGCACCCCTAACAAGTCGCATTCATGAAAATGTGGCTCATTGTCACAGTTTTTAGCGTTCCTACGAGACAGTATGCCAAAATCGAAATAATAAACGGAAGAGCATAGACAGATTTTTTTATAAATAAACATTGGAAGCTGTGTGATCAAGTAGCAACCAACCTCCATGGGTACGTAGCAAATGCAATCGAAAACTTTTACCAGGCATCATGCCAGTCGTCATGCTCGTCCACTGTGGCTTCGGGAAAGGCGGCTGGCAGCATTGAGAGCACCGGCCAACCAGCGCGGGCGCTGCCACTGTTGTACGGGCTTGGCAGCCGCATTGCCATGTGGGGCACCAGTGCCCCCACAAGATGGAGGGACGGGCCCATTGTTCAGCGGGTGCGATACCAGTGCCCCCTCCTGCAATGAAAGGCCAAAGAATATCCTGTGACAGCATCCATGAGTTGAGATGTACAAAGAAAGCACAACGCAGAAAGAAAAACAAATCGTACTACAACTTATGCGGTACAATTTGTTGTTCGACACTTAACTGCAAGAAATAAATGCGAAACAGGTGATGTCATACCTGTGCTGTTTCTTGATATGCATGGAAAATACTGGAGTAGCTTAATGTGATCACCGACAACAGTTATACTGTAGACACAACTTTTCAAATCAATAATGTATACTTCTACCCATATTAAATTTGTGCCAGCTTAATCATGCCAGTACAATGCGCTGGTTAACCTAGGAAATAAATGACAATGGTTGCACACTAACATGGACAGCTGAAAAAAGGCATCTGTCAACAACTGGACTCCAGCACATCTCATGTACGCATAATGGCATTTCTTCGGAGGTTAAAATTAAGAAATGAGAGCTGGTAGTCAATTAAACCTGCACAAGATTTTTTTTTCTTCAAAAGATTAGCACACAAGGAGATGAGGTGCTAGGTCCAATTGACATAGTGGAAACTCCTACTTCGCGTAACTTCTACGTGCACTAGTGTCAATTTCGTGCGTCGCGTTTTTTTTTTTTTTTTTATACGTCCAGGTTGCCTTTCTAATCTCAAGAAAGGGGCCGGAGGCTAAGGTAGTGTGGTGCAACCAGAATGTTCGCAGCGTAATTTTCGCTTGGATATAGCACAACACGCAAAGTAAGTTGTCCAAGTCGGCACAAGAATCACCAAAGATAGCGCCAATTCACCGTCACTGCCCACCTACGGCCTCGACAGTAACGTGCTTGACTAGCTGCAGGTGGCCACAGCAAAGTCGCTTCCAGAGTTATTTAGTACATACGTCCTGTCATGTGATTTTGCGAACCCGTTGCGTTATTCTGCACAAATATAAAAATTGCTTACACACCTGTTGCGTGGATGCCCCGATTCTTCTCGGAGTCTGTTTTCTTCCACTTGGGTTTACCGTTGTCCCAACACTCGTGGGCGGACATGCGGCTGGCGCTTATACTTGGTGCAGACTCTTCTACGCGTCAATTTTAGTTTCTTTCGGGGAGTTGTTAGTAGAACGACGAAGAAGCTCCCCTCCTTCGTGGAACCACTCGCCCCTTCTTGTCACCTTCGTTGAACGACATCGTTGTTGGGCAAGGCACTCTAGTAGGACTCTGAAGAAAGAGGAAGGGTGAAAATGCTCTTTCTAGGCGGTGACAGCGAACCAGATAAGCGGTGAGACGAGGTGAGACGGCGAAGAACGGGCGAGACGCAGAGACGAACGACGTTAGCGAGCTACAGCTGCCTCTACGACGCAAAAGCTGGAGAGCGGCCGCCACCGTTGCCAGACTGGAGAACGCTTGTGGCTGTTTGTCCCAAAAAACCGGCCGCAACGCATAAAACATGCGCGCTGCGAAGCAGAAATCTTGCAGACTCACAATTCAATGTTAGTAAAATGTGTCTCTTCAAATAAAATGAACTAATATGCTCATAATTCACACCACAATATTGTTTTCAACTTCGTTTTTTACTACAACCTCGTAACCAGACGCCTTTCACGTCTCCTCGAGTTTCCTCGAGTGGAGGAAGTGTTCTCGAGGAGCTCCTCAGCCGAGGAAACGCCGAGGCGCGTCTGTGAAGCCCGATGGCTCCTCGAGTGGAGGCGAGCTGCTTTCCTCCACTCCAGTGAGTCGAGGTGGAGTGTCGAGTCGAGGCCCGTTTATGAATACGGCCGTCATTCTCACTCTGAAAAAAAAAAGACAAAGATATAAAAACGGGTTAGACGTGGATTTTAGGGTATTTTTATCCCGTGAATCCGAATATCACGTTCGTTTTTCCCCAATATGTAACTAAACGCGAGAAAACACGACAAACCTCCGACCACTGGTTACGTCATAAAAGGATCTTTCGGCCGTCAAGTGCTTGTCGCTTGTGTGGGCAGCGCGTGCGATTGCAAGCGTGGCAGGTAGATTCCCGTGCACTGACACCAGCAGTGACGTCTTTTTGTGATCTCTTTAAAAAAAAAAAATCAATAGCGAGAGTGCGCGTGCATAGCTCTGCCATAGGCGCTGAAGATGCTCGAGAGGTGAGATTCCGAGAACTCCTGATAAAGGGGTATTCACACGAGGGAGAAATCCCGGGGATTTCTCCCCGACACGCGCGTATCACGAGATGAAAACGCGAGGCCTTTGCACATCGCAAAGCCTGACGTTTTCGTCGTGGGATGCGCGTGCCGGGGAGAAATCCCCGGGATTTCTCCCTCGTGTGAATACCCCTTATAGGTCGTCGCGCTCCGCGAAGGAGGGGCGTCAAAGGTACTTTGAAAATGATTCTCTGCAGCATCCGTGTGTCAGATTGAAAAAATATTCTCGATATTCATGATCCTGAAGGCCAAATGAAGACGATTTAAGTATTGTTATTCAAATACAGGACCACTTCCATTTTCCTTTAAGGCGCAACATATTCCTCCTTAATGCAGTTTGGACCTGGAATTCGGACGTCGGTATCTTTCCGTCTAAACGTGCCTTCAATTCATTCTGGAACGTTTTATGCACCCTCAGAAGCACCTGCGCTCATTCACTTCTCCGACACGTGCGATGGCAAAGTCCTGACCACTAAACACAGCAATGAAGCGGATAGGAGGGCTTTCGAGTGCGTCCTGATGCAACTGTGCACCTCTCGGGGCGTCTCACCAAGCTCTGCTAAGTGGAGCAAATTCGACCTGTTTCGATATCGAGTTACTTGGTTGCAGGCTCTCGGAGCCGGCGTGAAAGTGCGGAGTCGACTGTTCGTACGCACTAAATCGCGAATGTAATGTAAGAGGCCGGTCCGTGCTTATCTGATCCTAGATGCAAGAAAAAAAGCGTGTCGCGCACGCTCCTCCAATCACTGCATATAAATGGTCAGGTTCCTCCGCCGCGGGAATTGTAACAACGTATCATTAAACCCAAAGCGATGGAAAAAAAAAAGAAGAAAGAAACATGCCTAGTCCATGACTTGCCTTCTCTACCGACGACCATTCGTCCGCTCCATTGGAAGGTGAGCCTCGCCTTCCCCGCTCTGTACACATCTGTGATGTTTTTTTTTTCTTGTTTTTTTTTATGGCCTTATTTTTATGTACTTCCCGGACTTTCCCCTGTTTTCAACCGAGCGAGATCACGAAGCGGAAGACGAGATCGTGAGTCACGGGACCAAATCTTTCAAAATTTGGTCCGGTTGTCAGACTACGCGTTAATGGCCGCCGTTTAGCCTCCCTTTAAAGCCGCCGGGTGTCCGCCTTCTTTCCTCTCTGTTATTCGCTAAGAGTACGGCGTGTCCCCCCCCCCCCCCCCCCCCTGCTTTGTTTCTTGTTTGCAAATATATTTTACGATTTTTCGATCGCTCATTTTCCGCCTAAGTGCAGAGCTAGTGGTTCAAACCAGATGCTAAAGTTTGAAAACCCTAGCCGTTATCTCATTTAAAATTTATGATTGATTTTCTCAAATTCTGAATGGGAAAATGTGGCCCGTTTTCCAGCCGAACTGGGTACCCAGCCGAATTGGAGCGCCCAGCCGAATTGAAACATTCAGCCGAACCGGGTATCCAGCCGAATTGAAGCGTTCATCCGAATTGAAACTTTGAGCCTAATTGACCCGTCGACCGAATTCACACCTCAGCCGAATCGGATGACACCGTTTTCCCCCTTTTTCGGTAGCTGGCGCCATTCAGCACCAATTCGAGAGCTTTGTTGGCCGCCATTTTCCCCCTGAAATTTTCAGAAGATCCCCCCCAATCTTTGAATGAGTTAGCGGTAGGTTCTCAAGTTCTGACATCTGGTTGGGATCGCTAGCGAACCAGAATCAGCGTTCGGCGATGCGTTGTTCATTTTTGCGGCAAAAAAAGTCCTGTAAATTATCGTTGGGACACCCTGCGTACTACTTCACAGTATCTGCGTTGGCACCTGCAAGTTCGTGCCGGTGTGAGTTTTCTGTGTGTAGGAGCGCGTGTATGTGTGAGTGTACGTGATAATACGCTGTATGTACAAAGGCTAATTCAGATGTTTTGAGTGTTACCGACTGTGCTACGACTGCTTACGACACGACGGTTGCAGTAGAAACCGAGATCATGCACGCAACGAGTCGCATAGTGCAAAACAAAGATTCGTAAGGCACTCGATCACACTCAAACGGAAATGTCTGAACCAGCCAGTGATTTTGCCTTATCCGTGTCTGTGGTTGGGTACGTCTGTTCCTCTGTGCATTTTGGGCTCATGGTGAGGTAATGCATTTGGCTATAGTATGCTTACATGAGTAAACTATTGTCGAGACCGGTTATAGTGAAGCCAACTGGAATCGGGTATCACTCGCTATATCCGCTATGTCGTTATAACCGACTTCGGTTATAACGGAGTGCAAAAGACAATGGTAAATTGTTGTCGCTTCGTTGTCTCCACTATTTCATTATAACCAACTTCGGCGTAACCGCGCGGTGCATCATGGGAAATGTCCCATAATGCACCGCGCGAGCCCCCCACCAAGGTCACGTGACCTCGTGGGGGGTCACGTGACCCCCCGAAGTCACGTGACTCCCCTGAGGTCACGTGGCCCCCTCCTCGAGGTCACGTGACCCCCGCCGATGTCGCGTGACCCCCCCGATGACGTCAAAGTCACTGATGACGTCACCGGCATCCACATCGTCATCGTCATCATCACTGATGACGTCACCGGCATCCACATCGTCATCGTCATCATCACTGATGACGTCACCGGCATCCACATCGTCATCGTCATCACTGATGACGTCACCGGCATCCGCATCGTCATCGTCATCATCACTGATGACGTCACCGGCATCCACATCGTCATCGTCATCATCACTGATGACGTCACCGGCATCCACATCGTCATCGTCATCATCACTGATGACGTCACCGGCATCCGCATCGTCATCGTCATCATCACTGATGACGTCACCGGCATCCACATCGTCATCGTCATCATCACTGATGACGTCACCGGCATCCACATCGTCATCGTCATCATCACTGATGACGTCACCGGCATCCACATCGTCATCGTCATCATCACTGATGACGTCACCGACATCCGCATTGTCATCGTCATCATCACTGATGACGTCATCAGTGACGTCACTGATGTCGTCACCGGCATCCGCATCGTCATCGTCATCATCACTGATGACGTCATCAGCGACGTCACTGATGACGTCACCGACATTCGCATCGTCATCGTCATCATCACTGGTGAAGTCATCAGTGACGTCACTAATGACGTCATCGGTACCCGCATCGTTATCGTCACTGATGACGTCATCAGTGACGTCAGTGATGACATCATCAGCATTGGGGGTCACGTGACCCCCAAGGGCATTGGGCATTGGGGGTTGCGTGACCCCCACCTGGTTAGTTTAACCCCCCCCCAGTGCCCTTCCCTCCTCCTCCTCAAGAGCTGCGCTCTAATTCGGCGTTACAGGGAGTTGTAAGCGGCTTTCATTTTTTTATGTCGCGTTAAATAATAAAGAATACCGCTTGAGGCTATAGACGCTTTACACACGCGCCAAATTACAGCCGCCATTGCTGACCTTCTCTTGTCTTACCGGGATGCCGAGCATCTGAAACGGTAGTTGACGATCCTCTACAAAGGCCGCTGCTTTAGAAAAGGACCCAGTTGAATCTAATATGGCAATAACCTGGCCTGCTGTGGTAATGATGAAGTGAAATAAACGAAATAAGAGTGAACAAAGACTGAAGGTCAGTTATGGCGGCGTCCATGCACAGCTGCTGCAAAGCGTCTATAAACATTTGTAAAACATCCTGCTGAACCCTGGCAAAGGTACGAAGTATATTATAACACAACACAATCCGCTTTAACTTTTATTCGACATTTCGAACTCAGAAGGCCAGTGTTTATAAAGGTACATCATACAGATTCACCAAGACCAGAATTCGCATAGCTTCCGGACTTTTTACAGTAAACAAAGTCCCCTCAATCAATTCATGTTTCACGTTCCTAACAAGTACTGAGAGC